CTATGATGGTCTGGGGCAGCAATAAAGCGGTGGCGGGGTCTGGACGGCAGTAGACACTAGTGTTCAAGGGGGTTGGGCAGTAGCAAGGATAGGCGTCGGTGGTTGGACAGCAGCTGTGATAGGCATCAGTGACTGGACAACAACTGTGATAGGTCCGGGAGGGGCTGTCGGTGGCAAGGATTTGTCGAGGAGGGTTGGGGAGGTAGTAGGAAAGAGGCCTGAGGCCTCAGAAATGGCAGAGAGGATGGAGGCCTGGGCAGCGGCAGGAAAGAGGATGGAGGTTTAGACAATGGCAGAGAAGATGGTTTGCAGATGCTAGAAACGAGGCAAAGGGGATGTGGAAGGATAATTGTCTCGTTGGGATCGAGTTACAGCCAGAGAACCACCCGGATTCTTGGAGACGGTCACCACCTCGGACGAGTTACAGCTGGAGGGTCTTCTCGTCGTCGGGTACATCCCCGGCGGGGAAAGGCGGCATTCAAAACTTTGCACTCATCCAAATTTGAACCCTAACGCACCCAACAACACGTATATATAATGGGAATTTATAAACAGAATTGGTAATGCTTAAGAAAGGAAAGAAATAAAAAAGACACACATAGAATAGGTAAGGAATAAAATAAGAGAATCATGATAAAGGAAGGATCGAGGGAGAGAAACGAAAAAGGAAAGGGGAGAAGAGTTGGATCGCGATGCTGTAGCAACTACAGAACTGTTTCTGTGGCACTGTAGCAGCAACAGTGTCGCGACCCAAGGAGGCTTCCACATCACCCCTGCACGGGACAACACTCCTCTTGTCGTCCCAATGTCCAGAACCCTACTTCGCTGCCCCTCGTTGTCCTAGCCCTCAGCTTTGCTGCTCACGCAATTCCAACCCCTACTTTCGCGGTCCCAACCACTCACAACCCATTTCAGCCACCTACCTTCGCTCCCCGGCCACCTAGCTAACCTTCACCACCCCGAGATCAAGCTCTATTGTGAGTATACTCGAACGAGGGACAGCAAGAACACTTCCTCCACATTGGATACAACCCTCAAAGGGAATACTGTAAGGTAAAACCTGAATTGAGATATCAAAATAAGACCCCTAACTCCAAGCACATCATCTTATATTTATATAAGGCTAGAACTTTATTTTAGGTAATACTTAAGAGAATAAAGAATAATCAAATCAGGATTACAGATTTAAGAAAGAAGAATAAAATATTCAGAAATTCTAATTTGGAAATTCGGTTTAGGAAATAGATTATGATGGAAAATCATATTTAGTAAAGAGGAATAAATTATTCAGAAATTATGGTTTGAAAATTCATTTTAGGAAATGGATTATAATTGAAATTCAGATTTAGGAGAGAGGAATAAAAATATTCAGAAATTCTAATTTGAAAAGACTTATATTAGGAATGTCCTAAGAAGGAAAGAGGGGACGGGGAGAGAAGGGAAAGGAAGGAGCAGCAACCCCTCCCTTTGAGAACTGATCGGTCCTCCATAGCCCCTGCATCAGTCTCCCGGGTTTAGGGGAGCTTCGACGTAATAGGTCGAAGCTTTTGTGGCGTTGTCAATCACCCGTGGATTCCACTAGCAACTGCAACATCTACCAAAGCATCTGAGGAGCTTTTCTGAATTACAAGCATACCTCCTTATCAATTTGTTCTGGTTTGACATAATCTGGCCCAGAGGTATACCACCATGTTGGTTCTCTTAAGCCAAGTTTCGAACAAGTAAATATCTCATATGCTTATCATCTATGACAAGTTGGGCCCAGCAAGATTGAGGAATTGCAAGTGTTTGGTTGATGGGTGATTCTTATTATGTTCTAGGTCTTTCCTCTAACTCTTCAAGCTTTGAAAAACTGACATCTTCTGTTGTGTTCCAATAACAAGAACTTCACATTGGTCTTTTGTCTCTTCATATGGAATACTGATGGTTGGAAATATAGCAGTCTGTGATGCTATCAATTGGTTGTTACTAAAACCATCCATTGAAATTTTAAATTTGACAACTTATGATCTATGTGAATTTTATGTCTTACCAAAAAGTTCTCCATCTTCTAAGAGAGTATGAATCACAAGCTCATCAAAAGACACAAGCATGGAGGAAAGGCATTGGATGTAGCTACGAACAAAGGAGTTCCACGGGGGAAGACACCATTAGATGAATATTATTGTTCGAACTGCTCTTCAATGTTTGCAGTGTCTTAACATAACTTTTTGATGACAACCTACTCGGTGAAGTAGATCAATCCCTTGGTTGTGCATTCTGCTTCAACATGTTCAAATTCGTGGCACTTGCAACATCTTTTGGCTGTGACAGACTTGCGGATTAGTTTATTTTGGATAGTAGAAAAGGGGATTGTTTGGTGATGCGGTCTCTCCACTTCGGAAACTAGAGTTTGCAAATTTTGGCGATAGCGAGTTGGTAAGAACTGGCATCGTATTTCCCGCTTCATCTTCATATTTTCTCGTTCTTCCCTTCGACCTTTCAGATCACGGTCAAGGGTAATCTCCCACTAGATTTCCTCTTCAATATCCATATGCCTCCACTGAAGAAGGCGAAGCTCTTGTCTTATCTCATCCCGAGTAAGCTCGGGCATAGATCTCCTTGGTGACATGGTTGACGATTTGAGATTTGCGGAAGAAAAGAAAAGAAAGAACAAAGAAAGATGAGAAAAAAAAAACGAAAGAAAAAAAAATTTGGTGTGGTGGATTGGGTACGCGAGGGCGATAGAAACCCGTAGAATGGGACTAGGGTTGGACTAACTCTAATAACAAATGATACCAGAACTAAAAGAAAAAATAGTGGAAATACACAAAGCAACTTTTATTAACAGAGAAATAGGGTTACAACACAGCTTGAACTGAAAATAACATTATCAACACATAAAGCGACACAAACAACACCTCAAAAGTGCATCCCAAGGGCAGTGGAGGCTGACTAGGTGGATCGGGATGGCTAGCGGGGGTGGCGACAACAAAGGTGAAGTGAGAAACTGTAGGAATAGCTAGAGTGTTGTCTGTCTAGTGCAGCGACGGCGAGAAATTGGGGCAAAAATGGCAGAAACAATAGAGGTTTACTGTTTCGGGACGGCGGTAGCAAGGATGGAGTGTTGGCTGACAAGTTTGGCTACAGAACAGCGGGTTATGGGGCTGGAAAGCACATTGGTTGGGTGAAATGTGGACTATGGGGTCGGGGAAGGATCGGAGTGGCAGGCGGCTAAGAGGCGGAACAGGACAGAGCAGGGTAGGGAAGGTCCGGGAAAGTAAAAGGGGAGAAACAATCACCACCTCGGAGAAGAATATAGCCGAATGCCACCACCTCCTCAAATACAGCCCATAAAGAAAAAACAAACTCTACACAGGATTTCTAAAAGCAAACGCACCAACACCCCTAACTCTAAACACATCATCCTCTGTTTATAATAAGGCTAGGACTTTATTTTAGGCAATATCTAAAATAAGAAAGAAGAATCAAATCAGAATTTCAGATTTAGGAAAGAGTAATAAAATATTCAGATATTCTAATTTGGAAATTCAGTTTAAAAAATGGATTATAACGGAAATTTAGATTTAGGAAAGAGGAATAAATTATTCAAAAATTTTGATTTAGAAATTAGGTTTAAGAAAGAAATTATAATATAAATTCAGATTTAGGAAAGATGAATAAAAAATATCCAAAAGTTCTGATTTGGAAAGACTTATTTTAGAAATGTGCTAAGAAGGAAAGAGGGGAGGGGAGAGAAGGGAAAGGGAGGAGCGGTAGCCCCCCTCCCTTTGAGGACCGGTCGGTCCTCCATAGCCCCGGCGTCAGTTGACCTCTATAATTCAATTTGTTTCTAAACTCTCTCACTAATCTTATAAACAAGAAGGATATTTTCATTCTCTGGCTAGTCCACAACCAATTTCCCGCTAATCCCCTTCTAAAATATCTTCTAAGTTCCCTAGAACGGTATCAACAAGTCAAGAAGAATGTGGGTGAAAATTGGGCTAACTCGATCTTCCTATTATATCATGCTTTTGGTTGACGTGAAGTGGTTGATTGGGGTGTGGTAAATGTTCATCATGCAAATCCTACGACATTTCATTTTTTAATGAAATTGATCATATTATTGTGGATCATGCACTTGCTGTTTCTTTGTCTAGTGTTCTTATGTGTCCTGAGCACTCTACAGTTTATGTTATTTTGATGGAAGGAAAAACACAAAGTGGCTTTTTATGCCTTGGATGGTTAAACATAATTATAAATTATTATATAAAATGTTTATAATATATGTATGAAGTCATGAATTAGTTGCATATGCTTATTTTGTTGTTATGTTATTGAAATTAATTTATGGAAATAAACATCAATCATTGCATGGACAATTCACTTCCTTCCATTAATGGTGTTGTTCCCACCTCAGCTCATTTAAGTTATTAAGCCAAGCATGACACAAACCTACAAATTAAAAAGAGAAAAATTAAAATTCCTAACAAGAAGAAAAATTTTAAAAACCCAATGTAAGTTAAAGCATAAACGCCCATAAATTAAAATTTCTATACTAAAACCATAAAAAAGATTTTAAAATATAAAACATACATTAGGAGATGAATATATTTGTTCAATGTCACAAGCAATTTGTCAAGTCCATTGGCCATATGCTGCCGACGTCAAATATATATTTACATATACAGCATATCAAATACATATACACAAACAAGGTATTACCATCGTGCATTTTCCACACAAATCAAATATGTAATGTTAAAGTTTTGAAAGAAAAACCATGCAATGCAATACCAAAAAAAAAGGTTAAAAGCTCCAAAATGCGATTATTTCTTTAGCATTGATTGCCTAATAAAGAAATGAAACATTGCTCAATTTGGTATGCAGTATGCACTTTTTGGAAGCAAGAGAAATAAAACTAAAAAGAAGCTATCAAGAAAGCATAATGCAAGATAAATTCAAAGGTGATGACAAAAATAAATCATGTATTCAAAAAGAACAACTGCGCCATTACAAACCCCAAGACGAAGAATATAGATATCTCGAACAACTGAATGTAGCAAGTTTGGACGTTGAACTTTTATGGCCACAGTACATCCATCATGTGTTCGTCCTTTATAAACCTGAGGAAAACAGCATGAAATGATGAAGAAAATAAAAATTGGATAACATGATATTAGTGATGCTCCGATAAAATCCTCAAGCATTAATTGTATAAAAAAAACAAGACAGTTGTTATCAAACTCAAGTAATTATTGTTTCCATTTCAAATCTAAGAAAAAGGATAATTAAGAAAATTGTTAAGTTTATAAATGACGGTACAGAAGGAAAATTTTAAAAATTAACACTAAAAACGAAACACAAGTTATAAGTTTATGGTACATTAAGCTCAAAAATGCCTGAAGGATAACACTGTTCAGAAAATAAATTCAATGAAATTTCAAGGAGAAACACATCTACGTAAAATGCACAATTCTAAAGACGAATGATCAAAAATTATAAGCAATGATTAGTACCGACTTATATGCCTCACAAAATTTCTTTATTTTGTTTAGAAAATTGTCCATATTCGATGAGAGAAAAAAAAAAAGTTTCCCCGTGACTCAAGTTTTAGCAGTAAAAGTAAATCACTATCAATCTAGCTGCCTTCAAATGAATTAAAATGCAAAGGGACTCAGAGACGCATATAATTTTCAAGGAAGATGTAGCATCTAGCATCAGACTTTTTGCAACAGTAAATACTCTGCCGTCAATGTCACATATTAGAGCAAATCATATTGAAACAGAAGCAGAGCTAGAATTTAAAGAGTGGGAGGGGCAACTAAAATAATCAAAATTAAAAATTTAATTTTAAAAAAATAAATAATTAATTAAATTAAATAAAAAATAGCTAAGAATAGCTTATAAAAAAACAAAAATATATATTTTAATATAGTCATTTTGAAGACATATCTTAAATTATATACAGTACTTCTTCATTGCATCAAAATTATCAATAATTGATTCTATATCGAAATTCATTATAAAATCATTTTCAGTAAATGGTAGCTCTGAACTTACAAGAAAACCATCTTCCATTTAATTTTATAACATTGTCATGGTAATCATTACAACTGAAAAATGCATGTTCAATTGTTAATATAGAAACTGACAGTGTAAAGGCCAGTCTAATAAAATGATTAATAAGAGGATATATAATTGATTGCTTGGCTTAGCCATCATTTGATATAGATCATAAAATATATAAATACTCTAAGAATGTTGATTCTGATTAGCTTCAATTTAAATATACTTTAGTTGAATTATTATGTAGCTTTTATATATCTATGAAATCTTCTAGATAAATCTATTTGCAAGTTAAAAAATATCAACATTTGAATGACGATCTGGAATATCTGATGCATAACTAAGAATCAATAATTTTATAATGTGTTCTTTAAACTTGTTATTCATTTCGTGTAGTTGTTATTCAACGTAGTTGTGAAAATATCAACTTTAAAATGATGCTCTATAATAATTTTTTTTTTTTTTTTAACAAGATGACCTCATCCTCCAGAATAAGGAAAATTCAAATATGGCATATGTATATCCCATTTTTCACAAGCTAATTTTATCCTCTGGAATAAAAAATATCATTATGTTCTCTTAAATTTTAAGAAGATGATTGTTATTGATATTAAATGCATCCCATTAAAGATGTCGTGGTTTTCTTTATAATTCAAGAAAAATTAATCAAATTAATTATATGTGTCAAATATATGAAATACAAACAAATTGAAATAATACTTTTTAAAGATACGCTAAACAATAATATAATATGCAAGAAAAAAAAACTCATTAATGAACAAAACTTGTAACATATTTCGTTTAACCCACATATTACTTGCAGCATTATATCACTAACCTCAAATTTCATGAATATCAAATTTTGATAAAAGAAAATATGACATTTATCTCTTCAAACTTGATGCACTTATATCTTCAAGATGAATTATATCAAAAAATTGTTCCTTAAAAAATCCATTTTTATCAATAAATCTTAATAAAATTATTATTTGTTCCCATTTTGATTCATCTGGAACTTAATCTAGTACTATATAATATTTTACATTATAAATTTCAAATCAAATAAACCTTTAAAATTTATTTGAAAATAAAGATAAAATCGTTCTTTGAATTTTAAGAGGTATATATAAAATAGTTTGTGAAGCATTTTAAAACACTATTAAATTTAATGAGATAATTATGATCTTTTGATAAATTATTTAAACTAATTATAAAATATTTATTAAATTAATAATATAAAACTTATTATCTAGAGAACAGACTTATCATATAATATAACTTCCAAGAGTTCAACAAAGACTCATCCTCTACATGAATGTGTCAATGAGAAAACTCCTAATTCATACAAGCATGGGAATACATGTAGTGCTCTCAAGGGCCTCCAATGTTAACATAATAAAAATTATTTTTAAGTTGGAAAACTGAAAAGATATCTTCCATCGGAGAATTTAACATGTGGGTAGATTTTAATTATTCTAGCATTTCCATGAGTGTAAACTCTTAATTCTTAATTAAGACAAACCCCCTCAAAGCTCTGCATATTTAAAAGTACTCATTTAAAAGGTCCCACTGCGTTACTGTTTCTTAAATGAGAGATAGATGAGGAGGCCAATAGTAAATCATGTGATTTCATTGTCCTGAAACTCACTGTATAAATCCCAACCAAAGTTAGAGTACAAGCATCAACTAAATAATGTTGAGATCATAGGCTAAAAGCGAAGAATACCCGAATGTGACTGTCCAGCGCTGACAAATTTTCTACAACTATTGGCATAGAACCGGCGAGCCTTGATGTGTCAATAGAAACCTATATTTTGATATTACCAACAATTACCATCACATCATGCAATTTTTTTGATAGAACATGGCTCCGTTAAAAGAAAGATCGCTTGCTGAGAACATGGTTATGCCAGCTAAACTGGGCTACGGACCCAGTTTGTCAGTATATTAACCTAAGTTCTCTTAAGAAACTCTGTATCTTAACTCATCAAACACCAAACTATGCAAAATAAACTATCACTAACTTAATTGCTTCCCTTGTTTAAGTTCAGTAAAATGGGTGGCCAACAATATGTTTCATGCTATGACTGAAATGAGCAGCAAAAAAGTGATGATTAGCTCAAAGAGTGAAAACATCTAGTAGAGGGCTATAAACGTGACAGAAAATGATGAAAACAACAATTATTAACAAATTATAGGATAAGTAATCAGAAGTTTACAACTCACACCTGACCAAATGAAGCAGCAGCAACAGTCTCCTCAGAAATGTAACTAAAGTAGTTCTGGACAGGCCCTCCCAACTCCATCTCAATTATCTTCATCGCCACCGCACTTGGAAAAGGTGGAATTCTGTCATGCAATTCAGAAAGTGCCTGTAGGGAATGAATAAACAGACAGAACCATAGAATCATTAAAATGACCGTATTGGCTTTTGCCATCACGGACTAAATTTAACAGAAATACCAGAGAATGAAACTAGAAGTTACCTTATTTGAATTATTTGATATCATTAAAGAAATAAAATTAGAATGACTTGAACATCTTCACAGTAAAGCATAATTCATCTAAAGCTACTGAGTTTTGTGTATAGCAGAATTCTCAACTGTTACAGACAAATATTTTGTCGGTTGCATTAAACTAAAGTCCTTTCAACATGATTGTAAGACAAAAGGATGTGTTCAAAGTCACATCAAGTCCAACTACAGCTACTAGAAAGCAATATCAATACTGTCCAGCCAATGAAATTTAAATAACGAGCGAATTAGACATCACTCATCATCATTAGCCTTATCCCAACTATTTATAGTCAGTTTTATGAATCCTCAATTTTCATTCTATCAATCAGGAATGACGGAAATTAGGCAGCTAAATTATGAGTTTTCTATAGTTAGGAGCTTCCCTATTTAAATTGTTTCCAATATCTTCATTATGATTAGTTCCTTTTAGCTAAATATTTAAATTAAGAATATGTATTATTAAGTTACCTAAAATAAATTATATAAATTATTTTGTACCTAAAATAGATTGTAAGATTATTATTTAATGCAATGAAAGCAAAGGGAAAATACATTGAGCCTATTCAGAATTTAGCCTATTTTTCTCAAAACCTTAACATGGTATCAGAGCCAAAATTTTACCATAACCACCGGTAGTTATTGGAAGACCGTCAAAGCTCCCTTCCCGCCGGCCTTCTTGTGGAAAGGGAGGAACTATTTCTTTGCCTTGATTTGACCATCTAAGAATTTTTGTCCGCAGCGACTGCTTTTTCCGCCTTCGATTCGCCTCCTTCCATCTCCTACGTCTGGTTCTATCTCCCGCGTTTGATTCCAGCTGCGATATGTTATTCTGTCCATTTGTTATCCCGTCTGTGATTCAAGTCTCATCCGCAATTTGTGATCTCGTTCGCTTCGTCCACTTCGGATCTCCTTCGCTAGTCATCACTGCTTCAGCGGCATCTTCAAATAGTTCTTCTGCTTCGGCTTCATCCGCTTCAACTTCGGCTTCTTCGTCGCACCCAAGGATTGAAGGCTTCGACAATCCTTCCTGGACCCACGGCTTCGACATCTCGGCTTTAGCACTTTTAGCGTGAACATCAGAGAACAAATTTTCCCCGTCGTCACAGGAAGAATCAATAGCATTTGGATCTTATAACAGAACGCAGATACTACTTTTGGACTATGATCAGTAACATTTGGATCAGAATGTGGATCCTACTTGTAGGCTATGATTGATAACATCTGGATCGTGTAACTGGATCCTATTTGTGGGCTATGATCGGTAGCATTTGGATGTTATGATCGGTAGCATTTGGATCAGGACACGAATCCTACTTGTAGGCTATGATCGATAGCATCTGGATTGTGTAACTGGATCTCATTTGTGGGCTATGATCGGTAGTATTTGGATCAAGACGCAGATTCTACTTTTAGGTTGTGATCGATAGCATCTGGGGCGTGTAACTGGATCCTATTTGTGGGCTATAATCGGTAGCATTTAGATCAGGACACGGATCTTACTTGTAGGCCATGATATATAGCATTTGGATCATGTAACTGGATCCTATTTGTGGGCTATGATCGATAGCATTTGGATCGTGTAACTGGAAGCGGATCCTTCTTGTGGCTACGATTCGAATTTCTGGACGACAATGATAAAGAATTTCATGTTTTTCTTTGCTCAAATCACGGTATGGTTCAGGAGTTGTCTCTGAGGCTTCATCATTCTTGGCTTCAGCATTCACGGCTTGAGGATTTTTTGATCCCGGCAGTGTTATCAGTTTCTTGTTGGCAAATTGATGTATCCTGATCAGTCATGATCATTAGGCAGTTAAATTAGGAGTTTTCTATAATTAGGAGATTCCTTATTTAAATTATTTCCAAAATCTTTATTATGATTTATTTCCCTTTTAGCTCAATATTTAGATTAGGAATATGTATTATTAAGTTACCTAAAATAGATTATACAAACTATTTTGTACCTAAAATAGATTGTAAGATTATTATTTAATGGATTAAAAGCAAAGGGAAAAGACATTGAGCCTATTCAGAATTTAGCCTATTTTTCCTCAAAACTTTAACACATTTATCTATGATGCTAAACCTATTCATAGCAAATCATTTTAAATAACCTCTATAATTGTTACTTCAGTTTAACCACTTTTCCTTCAAAACTAACCTTATCGGCTCCCATCAAAAGGTTGAATGTTTTATAACTCTAACCCTTTATTCAATTAGCTATTAAATAAGCCAATAATAATGTCCTGCATGAACTACTGGAAACAGGAATTGAGAAGAACAATTCTTTTGTGGAAGGGGTTAACTCAAAAAGATTGTCGAGCGGCTAGAGCGAGTAGATAGGGAGTCGAGCGGCTGGTCTGTGCAGAGGAATGATGTTGGCGAGTCTTGTGAGCAATTGGGACAAGCAGGGAGGTAACCAACAATTCGTCTGTGCTGAGGAGGGGCATTCAAGAGCACTACAAACAGTAGGGGCAAGAAGGGAATGAACCCAGCTGTCGGTTTGCGCAGAAAGGGCACGGTCGGCGATGGGAGAGATGGGGGTGCCATGACTTGCGGCCTTTTGAGGGGAGTAGGCAAGGTCGACTCACCCTGGGACACCTTGTGAGGTGGCGGCGTTTGAACAGAAGGGAGGGAACTAATCGGAGGTAAGCACCATCTTGGACGAGGTACAGTCGAATCACTTCTCGCCATCGGATACAGCCCTCAGAAGGAAACGCCTTAGACACACACTTGAAATCAGAGATAAATTAAAAACAGGCTAGCAATCAGAGTAGATGCTAGACTAGGTAAGTAAGAAAATAGGAAACAATTAGAGGAGAGTGGAAAGAAAAATGCAGTCAAAGTAGGAAGGGAAGGATTATAAAAAAGAGAAATTCCAACAAAAAATGAAGAGGGGCAAAATAACTGGTTCTGGCCGGTCCAGTTCGGTCTAGCAAGAAGGATGGACCGATCATGCATGCACCGACCCGAACCTCAGAGCCCCACGTCAATCTCCCCGGGTTGGAGGAACTTCGACCTCATTCGTCACCTTTGGTTTCTCGAAGTATGAATTTAGACCAGCAACATTGAATGTTGTCAGATTACACCCAGAAGAACCTCTTCTTTTACACTAATAATATCTGGATCTTATTGAATAATTTCTTTCCTCATCATGCTACTACGATAAATTTTCAGGTTGGGGTTCATCCCTCCTGTATGGACATCTGATGATGGGTACCATGCTAACCTGCATCTAGCATCTGAATAACTCCATTTAATCCTCCTGACGTGGCACAAAAAAGCCCCCATTATGACATGTTGCACGTCCCTCAGTAGGAGCAACTCAAGAACGAGTCTATAGATTTGAATGGTCTGGATTTCTCTTATATGGGATTTTCATGCCTCTAGTGTCAGTTCCTCAAACTCAAGACTGTTTTGGACATCACCGTGAAGCCGATTGGAGTTTCTTCCATGGGCTCAGCTGAAACTATGTGATATTTTCCTCCTCAACTGGAAGTCGGTTCTCCTTCGTATCGTCACCATTTTCAGTGTTTACTATGTTATTACCCAATTTTTCAAGAACGCAATGCTCAGTGAAACAGATTATTCAACTAGTTGTGAAGTCTGATTCAACATGCACAAATTTGTGGTACTTGCAACACTTTCTGGTTGAGACATATTAAGGGATGCATATTGATTCCACCCGTTCTCCATCATAACTCAACTTTTCCTCTGACGGGGTTAGATGTTCTCTTGGGTGTAATATGGATGTAAGACCCTGAGGTTGAGCACTGCATATAAGAAGTGGTGGTTTTCCGATGATTTGGTCTCTCCACTTCTGAAGCTAGAGTCTAAATCTTCTGTTTATAGTAGGTTGATAGGAATTGGCATTGGATCGCTCGTTCTTCATATGTTGGCTCTTATCTTGACCTCCTCTAACACTGGATTCCAAAGAGTCCTAGTCGGTGTCTAAATCTTTTGTTCATAGTAAGCTGATAGGAATTGGCATTGGATCTCTCGTTATTCATATGTTGGCTCTTATCTTGACCTCCTCTAACACTGGATTCCAAAGAGTCCTGGTCGGTGTTCTGCATCATTAAAACCATCCCTATGGAAGGGATTCAGATTCCCATCTCTTACTCCTCATTGATTCTCCAAATCCTGGTCGAGGGTAATCTCCCTCTGAGTTTCATCCTCAATATCCACAGCTGAAGTCAATGAATCTCCCGTTGTATCTCTTCCTGGATATGCTTGAGCATGTATCTCCTCGGTGGCACGGGTAGGCTTTGGAGTTTAGCTGAAAGAGGGTATATGAGATTAACTGAGAGCGTAGAAAATTTAATTTGGGGTTGCGGATTTTGAAAATCAGGAAAGGGATTTAGAGTTAGGTCAAATTTGGCTATGGTTTGGTGGTTGGTGGGAATAAAAAAAAGTATTTTAGTAGAGGTGGCTTGGGTAGGGGCGGATGCTAGGAAACACTATGATAGGACTAGAGTTGGGCTAGCTCAGATACCAAATGATATCAAAGTTAACACAAATCACAATAAAAATAGAAATGTTATTGTTGAATTTAAATAGGGTTACAGTGACGACTCTTCAAACAGAAAATAAATGATAATAAACATAAAACGACACAAGCAAACATCCCTAAAATGATTCTCAGAGTGGCGGAAGTCGGCTATGTGGATCGGGAAGATTGACGGGGGTAGCGGCAGCAAAGAAATGTTGGCGGCAACAAGGGGGAAGTGCATAAATGCGGGGATAGCAAGTGTGAAGGTTGTCCTAAGTGATGGTGAACAATGATGGGACAGCAGGACGAAGGTCTTCCCTGTCCTGGGCAGCAGTGGCACAGGGGGAAAGCTCTGATAGCAGAGAAGAGGTGCGGTTTGGGCAGCAACAATGCTGGAAGGGACGGGAAGGTGGCTAGTAGGCGGAGAGCTGCAGAAAAAAATACTGTTGTTTCGGGCAGCTACAGCGATGTTCAACGATAGTGAGCGATGTAGGAAGATGCAAAAGGGAATAAGAGGAAGATAATCACTACTTCGGGAAAGAGACACAGTCAGAGCACCACAATCCCTCGAATATAGCCCTCAAAAGAGAAACAAACTTCGACGGCTGCCCTGACAGCAATTTGAAAAAAATACGCAATAATCTGAATCCTAAACAAATAAACCACATATATATAATGAGAAATAGTAGATCGAATAGATAGAGAAAAAGAAATAGGAAGGTGATGGAAAAGGAAGGAGGTAGGCAAGGAAAGTAATAGAAAAGGAATGGGCTACACAAGGAAGGAGTTAAATAGGCAACGGGGTAGAGTTGAACCTTTGTACCGTAGCGGTTAATGTACCACAACCCGGTAAGCCCTGATAAGCTCCCGCGTGACTTTATCATTAATTTGACACAACATTTTAAGAGGTATATTCTATTTTTTGTTTTTTTTCGACCGACCATTTACAATGTCACATTTTATTTGTACAACAAATCAGATGTTCCACATGTGAATTTTTCTTTAATGATATTGTTAAACTATGTTGTTTTCCCAAATAATTTGTATAAAGAAAATCATATGTTGTTAAATTTATATAGTTTTGTTTTTTTTTGGAAAAATCATAGCAAAAAAATTTGCTATGGACTTCAATTCTCACTATAAAGAAAGCATCTAACAAAGTAATTTTACCTCTAAATGGCACCACAAAAAAATGATGCCCTCTAATGAGATGGTTCGCTGCAAAATAGCATCATTAAATCACGATCACAATCACAAGCTAATCGTTCCCCAATGGCATAAATCTCTTTAAACGTAAATTATGGAGTATACTTGATGAAGAGCAAAATCGTTTATTATCTAAGATCGATTTAAAATTATCTTATTAAACAAACACTCACTTAGATCTATAAAATCCCCTCAGATAGCCAATTCATAGCAACGGACAAGAATCATTCGATTAAGTTAGTTTGACTGCCTCATGAATAAGTACACCAGGCTGTAACAAGCCGGGATAATTGAACCATGAGATCATGATCAAGTTTATCTCATCTCATCCTCCATTGGATCTAAGCTTATGGTGATAAATTTTCCTAATGTAAAATTAATTATTGTTACGATATGCTAAGCATTTAATGCCTAATTTTAATTAAAAGGACTCTCTCATTGTCGATAAAGCTGAAAAAAACCATTTATACACTTCACCAACATGAATATATGATAGGTTTTGTTCGAGACAATGAATATGTTTGTTAGGGACAATGAACAAAAAGGCAACAAATCATCAAACCAAACCTCAACCTAAATGACTACGCCTATAAGTGAGAGCCAACTGCTTAGTATTCCTAAACCAATACTTTTCTTTAATTATCTAATATTGGACTAAACCCAATCAAAGAAGCCTAAACGATCTCCCCTCGCGAGATAGTTCTCCACAATAGCCATCACACCTCAAATGGAAGCTTTTTAACATCATAAATTATTACACCCCAAGAGCCCACTCTTTAACCTCATAAATTATTACAACTCAAATGGAAGCTTTATCATAAATTATTATACCCCGAGATAGTTCTCCACAACAAGCTTTTTAACGTGGACGTATTGTGGGGATCATCCATTCTTAACCTTTTCTCAACCATGGTAGAACCCACCAATGACCAATGAGCCATAAAAAAATAAATGACTCAATTGCAATCAAACATGACAATCATTAAAGAGAAATTCCAAAGCTAAGGGCACCAAATCAAGTTAGAAACACTCAAACACAAATAGAAAAACTTGAGCTAATAAGAGAGAGTTGACACTTGATATCTCTACACAAAGATATTTTTAAATTATTTGATGTGGGACTAACTTATTGCAGCATGTGTCTAAACACATTTTAGTTAATTACAACATCATAAATGAGGCTTTATTCCATAGTTTGACACCGGAGTTAACCAAACAAATATTGTTACAGAAAACAAATAGGAGTTTACAACCACAAACACTAACATGAAAAATAAGAGCAGACACAACACACAAACTCAGGTAATGTTTGATTTAGGGAGTGGTGGAGATTGGTTACGTAGAAGGAAGGGGTGGTAGGTGAGTGGCAAAGCAAGGAATAGGGTCGGCAAGGGGTTGGCAAAGCAAGGAACAGCATATTTGCTACTCCATGGATAGTTGGAGTGACGTGGAAGGGGGTTGCGGCAAGGAAGGGCTGGTTGGGGACAGTGGCGACAAGCCTAGACTTACAGGAGCAAGACAGAATAGCTAGTGGTTGGATTGTAGAAGGAAGATAGGTAGGTTGGCAACTGGGTTGTACATGGAACGTAGGGTTGGAAGGCGGCAGCAGGTTGGATGCAGGTCTAGAAGGCAGCGTGATATCGGAGTTAACCAAACAATAATAGAACAACAATTATTTTTACTTGATACAAATAAATGGTTACGACCAACACAAAGGAAGAAATACAAGAACACAACACAAGCAAACATCATTGAAGTGTATCCCATGGGTGGTGGAGGTCGGCAAGTGGATCGGGATAGCTGACAGGGGTGAAAGCAGCAAAAGAATGCTGGTGGCAGCGATGGGAAGGTGCAGAAATGCAAGGACAGCAAATATGGAGGCTTTCCTGGGTTGATAGCAGGGAGGAGTCGAACAGCGGGTAGCTCCTGGGATTGAGTCGTGACTTCAAACGGAGCTCTTTGTCGCTTGATCAGCAGAGCAGGGATCAAGCGGCACGTCATATAAAGGATCGTGAAACTGTGATGTCTGCCGCTACCTTCCCAGTGAGCTCGTGAGACGATCCAGAAAATGACGCGATCGAACAAACGATATCGAAGAGCGAAACGAAGTGAACGAGCGAGAGCCTGGGGCACGGCGACGAGATCCCCCACCCTTCTTCGAGTAGGAGTCTACGAACCGCTGCGGCTAACCGCATCGCCATGGAGTCGCGACGGAAGGAGTAAACCCTAGCAGAGCGACACGATGCATCTGCATCACCATATTCATATATATATATATATATATATATAATAATAGTATATATATATATACTTGAAAACAAGCCACCAAGGGGAAACCATTATTAATTACCAATTAGAAGAAACCAAAATCGAATGAACAAGTAAGATTTTCATCAAGGATCATACAACAAATGAGAACACAAAAATAAGATATCTACAACAATAAATAAAACTCCTACTTAATAAAATATTATTCATATACAAAAAGTTTGCTACAGTACCACTCAAACAAAGAAAGGGTAAAATGCATTCAATTTGTGTTTTTGTAGCTATTAACATTAAGCTCCGTAACAACATATAGCCAGGACTAAATGGTAGAAGAATTTAATCATTTCAAGGCCTGAAAAAAAATAAGAGCATAATTTTCACAAAAGGGTTGACAATGTTTTGTTGCATTTCATAAAGTTCATACAAAAATATATCAAAAACTAAACAAATAAGAAAATAGTACATTGGTTGCCTCCGGAATTGAACTCATATATGATAATTGTAACTATCAAAAAGAAATAAAATGATAGGAAGTATCACGGCACTGAGCAATCTTGTCAAAAAAAAAACCAAGAATTAAAAAATAAATTAATATTAAAAAAAAATAGATCCCTGGGTGCTGAAGGAAGGTGACATGATTCTAAGAGAAAGTGTTTAAGGATTGAACTTAGCAAGGAGGTGATTGCGAAATAGAAAGGGAGCGAGGTCAACAGGGTTTGGGAAGGGAAAGAAGAAGTTTGGCAGCTGTCCAGACTGTAAACAGAAGAACAAAGAAACAATGGTTTCAGTGAGGCACTTGTGCCAATGGAGATCCACCACATATTCCAAAACAAGCTAAGCACGCTCCCTAGGGCAGAATAAATAGAGAACATGATCACCAAATTCATAAACCAAAGCAACAACTCCAATATCAAAAAAAAAAAATACCATATAAATAGTTCCCCCACTCCCCCACAAGATAACCATAGTTCTATTCCAAGTATTATAAAACAAGGGGCCCACATGCCAGCGGCAATCCACAAGAGGGGATTTCCAGCTTTGGTTTGGAACGGAATGGGAATCACAGGATTGCAGAACTGCTCCGTCAGAAACTTCAAGAAGATTGCAGTAAATGTAGCAAGCTATTCATTTTATGGTACCATATGAATAAAACTTGAGAAAAACTCGAGCTACAAGTATTATATAAAAAAAGAAAAAAAAGCAAAGAAAAGGGTGAGGCAAGGTCTGTGAACCAATCATAGTTATAGTCATAATTAGAGTAAGGGAAATTACAAAATTTAAACTTGGAGATAAAACAGATGTTTAGTACAGTACAAAATGAAACTAGAAGAATACTTCAGCAGAATGTAGCAAGGTGCAGTACTGTATAACCTTGTAATGCAAAAGAAGCAAAAAAAAAATCATAAAAACATTAAGTCCTGTTCACCATAAAATGGAAGAAAATAAGATAAAAGTCCTTAAAATGGTAATGCCAAACCTTGGAAATTTCTGAACCAGTTATGTCAGGCCTTGTAGAAAGTGATTGGCCAACTGAAAAGAAAACAATGTACTTTGGTAATTTGCAGGCTTCAATAAAAATTTGTAAAATTTTTATAGCATGAAAGTGAAAGGAAAAGTTGAATATGTTGATGATTTGAATTTCTTCCAGCACTATGTGAATGGATAACGACTAATCTAACCTTTGATAAAAGCTGGGCCAAGATTCAACATTGTTTCTTTTAAAAATTGACCGACCGTATCACCCAAGCTGCTTTTCCCACCTAAATCTTTCGTGCTAAACTTGAAAATTCTTGTGAGTTGCAACCGTATTGCAGCATAAGAAAATGAAAAGAAAACCTTCAAATGTACCACAAGAAAACAGTAATGCTCGCATCATAAATACGTTCCAGAAAAATCTGGATAATTAAAGAAAAAATATTTTGATAAAGGAAAAGATATATGGCTCATGGTTCAATAGCTTTAAAAGTAATCAATACCTGGAACACGAATACAACATTTTATGAGTACAGCGTCATATTCTCTTTTAAAAAAATCCAAATTTTTTATCCATGTTCGTTATATCTCACGTAAGTTCAAGATCTGCTAAAAAGGCTAAAACTAGGGAGGAAAGTAAAGAAAGAAAGAAAGAAAGAAAAGCAGGCCAGAACAATGACCGTAAATTTAAATAAAAAAAAGTGTAGTGAGGCAAAAAGAGCATTAGAAAGAGGTAAACAAAGGCAAAAAAAGGAGTAAATTGTCATCTAAGGAGAAGACATCATCGAAAAAGTTAGTAAAGAATGTAGCTTTGATGTGGATGCACCGAGTGTTCACACCAAAAAATTCTGAGTAAAATTTGGGTAATAAGAAGAATAGAACAATACAAATATGATGGAGAAATAACTGCATATAAACAATGCTGCTAAGCCAACGAGAAAATAAGGTAATTTTTCTCACTTATATGTCAATAGTACTCTTCCCGCTTATTACTATCTCCCCAAACCTAGCATGATTCCTCTGCCAGTTATACTCGCTAGAAGTAGAGGAAATTTTAGCATCCCCTATGTTCAACCAACTTCCGAGTCACCACCACCGCCACCATGATAATCAGAAATTTCCTCTTTTAAAGATCACTGGCTTCCAACTATTTCAACCAGCCAACAAAGAAATCCCTCATTATGACATTAATCAAGATAACTATCAATATTTTATCACTCCAGTGGCCACTTATTCGGCCGCTGTATACCTTTACACTTGATTGAGTGGAGAAAAATGAGTTCGATATTGTTCTAAGGCTCCTAGAATGTGGGCGAACTTGAAGATTCTTCGACAACGAGAAGGGAAGAGTAAAATTACTACCTTATCCAAAATAAAGCTAGAGATCCTGCGCAGGTACCACTAGCTCACTACTGACCGAATGATCAAACCTTAATTTCAAAAGTGGAGAGACCACATCGTCGAGAGACCACCATATCTCATAAGCAGGATTCAACCCGAAGATCATGCAGCCAAAGTACACCCGGAGGAACAACCAAGTTGATGTCGACTGAGAAGAAACTGATTCAAAATAAAGGACATGTAGAGCAAACCAATATTCATAAATTTGTCCCAGCTAGAAAGTGTTTCAAGTGCTATGGATTTGGGCATATGGGATCAAATTGCACAACTAAGAGAATGATCTCTTTCACTAATCAAGGACAAGTTGAAAAAATGGGCAATGACATCGTAGACACTAAAGAAAGTGAGGAGACAAAGGAGAAGCACCGGGTTCAAACTAATGAGGGAGAAAAACATGTACTTCAAATTGAGCCGATGGGAGGGACTCCATAATTAATATTGGTGTTTCAAGATAGTCCTAAATTCGAGGAAACACCAGCCACATGGCAACATCAGATAAAAGAATTTCAGACTTTTCATGTATATCATATGCTTCCTGAGTTGCCCCTTTTGAGGGAGATATAACTTGTTAGAAATAAGAATTTTTTGAGCTATTTCTAAAAAATCATATGGAACCAATTGGATACTAAATTTAGTTCAGCAATGCACCCACCAATAGATGGTCAGACTGAAGGGAGTAATGAACCAGAGAATTGGAAATTGTCTTAGGAGCTTGGAGAGCCAGAACATCCTTCAGTGAGATTTAGGCCCTTTTCAATAAGAAAATGAGTCTCTTTTAAGTGGTTACGAGAACCCATCGTTATGCAGCTCCAATTCAAGTTGTGTTAAAAGTAGATAGATACATATTCTATGAGAGTGTCCTTTGGAATGACAACGCATATATGATTGACTTAAAGAGAGCTTACAACATTATGGCTAACTTAAATGGGGTCGACCTATGAGGAGACAAAAGCATCGACAAATGAGATTAAAGCTTCTAAAACCTTAGGAGACTAATGTGGGAGCTATCTCGTGACCCCCTCCCCCCCTCGCGGTCCACAATATTGTTACATGACACGGGAAAAGGTTCATGCAAACAACGTTGAATCAAACCAAGCAGCTCCCCTTCCGATTTATTTCCAATTTTCAGCAAATTTCCTGTACTCCTTCCTTTCTAGTTCTTCCTGTTATATGTGTTGTATTGGGATTTGGATTCACAATTTTTTATGTGTTTTGTATCATGACAGCTACCGGCAGCTCTTATTCTCTTCGAGGGTTGTATCCTAGGATTCTAGATGGTGCTTCGGATGCATCTTGGTCTCCAGTTGGTAATTATCTTCTCTATCCCCTTTTGCATCCTCCTAACATCACCCCCGGCCGTCCTTCATCGCTACAAGCACCCCATATCAGCCACCTGTCCTCGTTACCTTCACCCCATATCAGCCACCTGTCCTCGTTGCCTCCACCCCAGACTGCGTCCTCTTGCAGTCCTGCAACCCTCTGCATTCCCTCGCATTACACATTGCTTCGTCGACATTCCTCCTCCTGGCATACGCCCAGAAACAGCCTTTTCCTGTTGTTTTTTGTTATTCTGGCTACTTAGTCATCCATTCCTCCCCATCTACCTTGATGCCCTTATAGCAACTCCTCCCCTTCATTGTCGTCATCCTCATCCACTGTTGTTGCCGTGCCTTGCATCCTTCACCCACTCTTTGATAACTCTTTGGAGGGCCAACTCGTCAATCACCACGACCACCTCAAGATCCACCCTAGTTTGAGTATGTGTTGTGTTTGTTGTCATTTCAAATTTTCGGGTGTCGTGTGTTGTATTTTCCCTTTCAATATTATTGGTTGTAACTGCTTGATTGTTTTCAACAATAATATTTGTTTTTTTTCTATTGTGGTTTCGATTAACTACAGTATCACCTAGGATCTCTCCAATGCTTAATACCATAAAGCTCTCACCATGAAATACATATTTCTACTACCGTGGATGCCTTCCCCCAACGAACTTATGAGAGATGAAGAAACGAATAAGATTACAATGCATTTTGAAGAAAATTTAAACATAGTTCAAGCAAATAGATTTTGAACTTTGTTTGAACTAAGTTAAAATCGAGGTTCAAATTAGGTTAAAATTCGAACAAGTGCAAACCAGTTTCGAGGAGTTCACAAATATATGAGATCATCCCTCATGGAAAGTAATTTCATATAAAACAAACTTGCAGCCATGTTTCTCCCAAAAAAAAAAAAATGCAGCAACGATATTTCTCCAATTATATGCATTATATGCTATATAAAATCATTTTTTTCTTAAATAATAGTATAAACACTATGTGTATAGATTCACAAAGCTATATACATACACTCACATTGAGTTAACACAATTTAATTTAATTTCAACTTGATCACAATTTGAGCAATTTCCAATAGAGTTTTGAGTTTTTCACATAATTATCAATCTTGTTCAATTGCCTATCAGCCCATGCTATGATAACCAATATGTTCATCTCAAGTTGCCCATACAACAAGAAATTATATGTACATTTAACTCATCGCCAACAATTTCTTACATAGATAATATGCTGATGTACTTTACCAATCGATCAAAAAATTTATTTCTCCGAATTAATTTTTAAAAAACAAGAGAAGCTGTAAGAATAGAAAAATTAATTTGATATACATTAAAGGACGGTGCTCTACAAATATGGATAGAAATAAAACAACATAAAGTTCAAATACCTCGAGTAGTCTAAAGAATAAAACATGAGGTCGACAATTAAAATAAACTTCGACTTTTTCAGGGTCATAGAACTCGGGTAAAGGCATGTTCCAAACTGATAAAAAGTGTTGGATGTAATCAGAATAAGTCTTCAGAGCTTCAATATCAGCCATTAATATGTCAGAGCCAGACAATCCTGTTAAAAGCAATCATTCAGAACTAAGAAAAACTAACACATGAAAAATATTTAATCATTTCAAGCTCAAGCAAACATATAGGGTAATTAAATTTACAAAAAAATATGTTTTAAACATTGTATAATAATCTTGGGGTTTGTTTGGCAAAAAAACAAAAAAAAAATGTTTCGAATCTTTCAGTGTTTTAGCATTTTTTTTAATAGGCATTTCATTGTTTACCAAAAGAATATTTTTTGGTAATTATTTTTTTGTAAGTAGCTCTTAATTATCAATTGACAAACAAACAGAGTATTGTAAATAAGTGATGAAGGGTGATGCTGGAGTTAACCCAAACAACAATAGAAAAACAAATACTATTACCGATAGCAAACATGTGGCTACAACCAAAAACATTTGAAAGAGAAACGCAAAGACAAACATAAACAAACGCAACTAAATTGTATCCAAAGGTGATCGTCGGATTTAGTGAGTGGACGGCAACAGGTTACGAGGCGGTGGATGGTTGTAGGGGAGGAAGGGGAAGTTGTGGTTTTTAGTTGGGAAAAGTGGAGGTTGGTTGGCTAAAATCAGTGAAAAAACAGCAGCGAGGAATCAACCACTCGCTCTCCCAAGAGGCTGTAAGAAAGGAAGTGGGCTGGACTACGGGAAGAACAGCCAGAAGTGTTGTTTCAGGCAATGACAGCAAGGGAGGGGCGGCTGAGATCGAGGACAGGCGGCTAAATGAGGTTAATAGGTGGCTGCATGGCTTGTCTGCTGGAAAAAACAGCATAGTTGCTGTCCCGCACAGCACATACACATGCAGATTCTTCTAATATTTTGATTATTTCATATTTGAGTTTAAGATACTTTGTTTGTTTTAATAAGCAATAATTATTTTTTAATTTGATTACGCATTAAAAAAAGAAAATTATGTGTTATGTCATATGAAATAATTGCTCCATTTTTCTAAAGGCTGTTTGATATAGATAATGCCATAATGTATGAATCAAAATAATAGTTCCCATGTAAATTATAAGTTGTTTGTGAAACCGATCACTTTATATATTGATAAAGTGTGATGGGGAATTTCTTCAAATATTTATTGTCTAAATTATTTTTTAAAATTAAGTTTTTAAAATTAGTGGGTTTAACAAATTTGCCCCCTTTCAGAAAAAGATGTTAGTTCCGCCCCTGATTACATATAGGGACAATTATTGCTACATTGTTGTGCCTTTGAGTTAAAAAAAAAATACTAAGAACCCTATTAGAGATTAATGAGCATAGCCCATAAGTGAAGAAATCTTCAAATACTCATTGATGATGTCCTAGTTAACATCTTATCAATCTAACAGATACATTCTCCCCGTGCCAAAAATACAACATAAACCTCAATTCAATGAAATGCCTATTCAAACCTCAATCTAAGAAATTCCTTCATTAAATGTCGTTGATGGAAGGAGTAAGGGATAAAGATAAGTTCAAAGCAAACTTACAGACATAATATGTACTATATGTTCGAGTTCAAAAACTCACTATACTTAGTATATCTGTCACTCAGGGGAGAAGCACGGGTCTCTAAATAAGGCTTTCCGTAAGACTAACCACCTTGTCTGAGGTTATGAATGCAGGAGTTCATTTTAACAAGTTCAAACCATTTTACTCTGCTCCAGTACTACATAGGCAAAAAATTAGAGAAAATACATTATATTTGAGAGTAAATGTTGGTGATATAAGATCTAAGAAGGTTAAAGAAAAGGGGCTGAGAACAACATATTGACTAGTCAAACTCTTTCAAGAGAACTAACAATTTTCCCCTGATCACCACGCAAAGGTTGAAAGCCTATTTCTAATCTCACAAAATCAAGAGTCATTATCACCTCTTTTCTCCAAGTCCTATAGAAGCACAAATCTCAATAAGGCTCGTGAAGTGGTTAATCTAGCCCAGTGAATTTGAGCTAGATTGTGCCCCTCATACTGCAATCAAGGTTCGGATCTCAGCTAACTTCGCAGCCAAGTTCATTGTATCGAAAGAATGATCACAAAAAGTCCCTCAAGCAGAAAAAGAGACTGTTAGATGTACACACTAATAAACCTCTAGAACAACAGCAATGGAGGCGAGGTAATGCTTAAAAGCCTTCAGAACCTAGTGTTTGTCTTCCTTGAAGCTCAATTGCAATGTTAACAAGTAAACTGAGTATGAGGCAGAGCCCTCTGGACTGCAACTTGCCATTATATTCGAGGTGATGAAGCTATTATTTCTCCATGATTCCTAGCTCTAAATGGACAAAGTATTTGGGATCTACAAAATCAAGGATGCCATTCTCAACAAAAACCTCAAGAAAATTTGGATCAAGGTTTGGAAGTTCAAAAAGTTCGCGCTATCCAGCATATCCCACGATAAGACAGCCAAATTGCTGACACATTGTAAAAATTTAGCAATCTTCTTGACATCTGCAATCAAGTGGTGGATAAATCATCTATGGAAGAAAAAGACAAAGAAATAGGTGTTGTCAATTGAGAGGTTTGTTGGTTGAGCATTGCCTAAAAAGAAAAGTGAGACAAGATCTTTGAATTATAAAGCCATAAAACAAATTTTTGCAAAGAAGAATTTGTTTGGAAGGTCCTATTCAAGAATCAATTTACGATGCCACAATCCACAAGAAGCAATGTATTGAAAGAAATTCATTGAGGCAAGTGAGGAAGTCACTCTCCGTTGAAAAGTTTGCCAAGGATGATGCTCAAGTAACGCTACTATTGCCCAAATACCATAGAAAAAGTCAAAAAATTTCCTAGACATTGCAAAAGCTATTATATAAATGAAAATATTCATCATTAGACCATTAAGGGGCAAAAGATATTGGCCCTTTCTTATGGCATCTTGACTCTCAACAAGATCAATTAATACTTGTGGTGGTTAACTACTTCACTAAACAGGTGGAGGAGATAATGCTAGCTTGTTCAACCAAAGAGGTCGTGACCGAATTCTTTGATCCAAGATTTTTAGTTGGGCCTCATGCCAACTATAGTCATAGATAGCAGTCTCCGTTTGTCAAGATAGAAACTTATGAACTTCTTTGCCAGCAATAGTGTTAATCTCAAGTTCTCATTTATCTACCATCCTCAAATTGATAGTAAAACAATAGCCACAAAAAAACTAATAATCAACTTACTCAAGCGAAAGGTCTTTCACAAACCAAGGAATAGGGCTGATGAGATGCGTTTAATTTTGTGGGCCTCTTGAGCCACACCTTGGACAATCATTGTGGAAACCCTCTTCTCATTTGTCATTGGTTGAGAGGCAGTAACTCCTAACGTAATTTATTGCCCCATAGTCAAGACCAGAGAAACTCGTATGCATGTGTATCACGAAGGTGCATGACCGGACCTGACATAATGAAGATTTGTAGATGTTTGGACTTGCTTGAAGGGACAATAAATCAAGCTCATGAAGAATCAAGAAACAAAAGGCCTAAGCAGTCAGATTCTTCAAAAATTCAAATTCTAGAAACTAAATGTAGGGGCTCACATTTCCCAATAGTCATGAGGAAATTCTTTGAGCCAAGGTAAGCTATTTATTAATTGGAATAGACCATATATCCCGATAGAAGGAAAAACCATCCCTAAAACATGGAAAGCTGGTGACTTAATTTTTTTTATCATTAAGAGACTAACATTTGGTTAACTATAAGTCAGTAGCACTGAAGACCAAGAGCAGGGGGCACAATCTCTAATCATCCAAGAACCAAACTACTTGAGCTAAGCAGCAACAACAACAACAACAATAAGCCTTTATCCCATCAAGTGGGGTCTGCTACATGAATCTTTTTTCGCCACTGTGACTTATTGAGTGTCGTATTTTCATTTCATTTTAATAAATTAAGATCATTTTTTTATACAATATGTCAAATTCTTTCTAGGTCTACCTCAGCCTTTCTTAACATAAGTCGAATCTAAAAAATCTACTCTCCTAATTGGATCATCTGGATCATCAGATGATCGATCAGATGATCGATGTTTAATGTGACCAAACCATCTAAGATGACTCTAATTTTGTCCGCCACTGGAGTTGTCAATATTTGAGTGAATAGGTCGAATGTCATTTTCCTTTGCTTTCATTCGAATAAATAATAGTTTGTGCAATCTCTTTTAGGTAACCTAATAACTAATCCTGCTTTAAATAAGGAGAGAATATGTACAATTAAAAGAAATAAATCAGAAGAGAGAAATTTAGAAATAATTTAAATAGCAAGAAGTTCCTAATTATAGGAAACTCCTAATTCAACTGTCTGATTTCTGTGATTCTTGATTGATACCCCCCTCAAATTGATGCTGACTGATTAAGAAACATGAATTTGCTAACAAGAAATTGATGAAAATGTTGAGAAAGAGCCTCAATAAATCCCAAAATCCAAGAAACAGTTCGAGCATCATTTGCCTCCCATTGACCAAGATCTTTCGGCTCTGTAAGTGCTGGAGAAGACTCATCAATATGACCTTAAAGCTCCTTCACTTTCAAAGACATCTTGAACTGAAATTCTCATGCTGTAGAATTCTTTCTCGTAAATTTGACAGCTAAGATTTTAGAAAACATTCTAAACAGAATTGTTGCTCACAAGTTGATTACTAAGAAAGTTATTGATCGAAATCAACCTAAAGTGAAAAAGCCAATAGATCCAAAAAAGTCCAAAAAAAAAACCAAAGAAAACCGAAGAGAACCAAAAAATCGTGCATTGCGCTGAATTCGATCTGAGACCAAAGGAGAGGAATCTGAAGTCGAAGCCTAAGATCCTTGGGTGCGACGATCTACAAAGGATCTCGGCGTTGAAATACGTCGACTATCCTTGAGTGTCGAAGATCTAGGAAGGATCTCCATGCTGAAATATGTCGACTATCGTTGAGTGCCAAAGTCGAAGATAAAGTCAAAGCTGACAAAGCAGAAGCGGACAAAGTGAACGAAGTGGTCGAGATCGCAAATTGCAAATGAAACTTGGATCGCAGACGAGGTACCCGATTGAAGGAT